CAAAAAACCCCCCCCCCCCCCCCCCCCCCCCTTATTTTATGACTATATAAAATAAAACAAAGTATCTTTTAAAAAAATATTTAGACAGATTCTCATGAGTCAATCTCGATGCCTTATGCATATCAATCCAATTTTTAAAAAGGTTGAATTAACCGAGTTAAAATAAATCTAGTTAATAAAATGAACGATTAATCCATTCAAATTTAAACAGAGTGGATAGGTCATGATTTTATGAGCTAATTTTATCACCGTTATTCATAAGTAAAATCTAAATATATATATATATAGAGAGAGATATATATATATATATATATATATAAATCTTATCCCAAACCAGAGAACCTCTCAAAGTCACATGGACACAATTAGGAAGTTGTTCACCAAAGGACAATTAATTAAATTAGTGCAAAAGGACACATGATAGTCCCACCACACCATCCTATTGTCAAGTTGAAAAGTTAATAGGAGTTGCTTTAATCAATTTTGAGATGAAAATACATTGTTGGGCCATTGAATTAATGTCTCACCAAGAAATAGCTAATTAAAGACATTCTCACAACACTTGCTCAAATTTCTTTGAGGTTGTTGGCACAACAAAAGATAAATCGTGGAACTACCAATACCACTAGCTTTGGTTTGTTTAATTTTGTACATTTTGAAAAGAAAAAAAATACAAGTAATTATTGATGTCGTGCGTGAGTTTTATAAGTATAATATATAAACGTGCTCTTTAAATTGATATCTGTGACCTTCAACTTTACTTGTATAAAATTGAATAATAAACATATACGTTCTACATGAGATAATATCCGACAAATCCTTCAATTTATAGAAACGTGTTTTCTAAGTTCTTGCATTAGAAAGTATATTATATTTGAACTGATTTTAGAAAATATGAATACATATAAACCTAACATAAACTATTGGTAATTAGGTAGTGAAACATACTAATCATGATTAGGTAAAAAACTTAAGTTGATACCTAAACTTATTCAAAAAAATATTTTGCGCATCTTTAACTTTCTAAACAACCTATCATTTTTGTTTAAAGTGAAATTATTACTCTCTTGAAATATCGTAACCAATGTTAATTTGGCTATGTACGCAAACTCCGACGCATGTTTTTCTCATTTTATTTTAATTTATTATTTTTGAGCTAGACTGACACTGATGATGATGGTGAAATTTTTTAGTTTAAATTAAAGTGTTTAAATTACCCTTTTCATATAAGTTTATATACTTATTATAAAAATTAATTTAGTAAATTTTGTGATACTTTATTACAGTATAAGTTAGAATAAATTTAATGCAATAAAGTAAAATATAAATAATCATCGATTTATAATAATTCCAAACACCTGTTAGATGAGATATTTCATTAGCAGGGGCCTATCCAGCAAAGCCTGCAATGTTGCTCTTTGATGTTTCTTTAGTGGACAAGTTAATTTAGCAGTAAGTGGGAGCGGAGTTAAAAGTTCAGATAGGACCTGATTCGATTGAATTGATAGTTTTTGCTTAGGACATTTATGAAATTTTTTATAAATTTATAATTTAATTAAAATTATTTGAAATATCCGATTTAAAATTTAGAATTCATAAAATTGAAATTTTAATTTGACATTTGATAGAGTGGGGTGAAGTTAAAACTTCAGATGCGGGACAATTCGATTGAATTAGTAGTTTTTGCTTAGGAAATTTACAAAAAATTTATAAAATTATTAAATTTATAATTTAGTTATAATTATTTGAAGTTGTTAGTTTAAAATTTAGAATTTATAAAGTTAAAATTCTGATTTGACATTTGACAATCACCTCAAGAACAATTTATATCTGGATTATTAAGTTTGGGGCTCACATGGTTATCAAGTCGGAATCAATTTTTTGAATATTAATTTATCAAGAATTAAAAAGAAAAAAAAAACAATCTGATATTTCTAATTACTAGTCTTTGCAATTTCTAATTTTAAGATTTTAAATTTTCCACATATTTTGTCCAAAAGTTTTCTATCGCATCTTCGTATCCTTAATCAAAAGATTTGAATTTCGAATTTTAATTTATACGGAGAATGAATTATTATTAAATAGATAGTGAGTTTCACTTAACCTTAAAACTAATTTAAGAGAGAGGATTTCTCAAAATCATATAAGGAAGTCCATGATCGATCTCCAATACGGAATTCTTTCCATTCAGTAACCTCTATACGTTTGAATCTGATTCCCAAGACGTGCATGCCTAGCTAGACATTGTTTGGTCACTGCAGAGTACGGACAATCTATCCAGAGATCCACATTGAAAGGTCTAACTCTAATACCATATTAAATAGAACGTGATTCAAACTCAATCATTAAAGCTAACTTAAGAAAGGGAAGGAAGGGGGAAGAAGAGGGATTGCCAAAATCATATAAGAAAGCGTAGGACCAGATTCTTTCTATTTATCAAAAACCTTCTTAGAAGGAGCCTTTCACCTATGGTGGGTCTACTCAATTACAAAATCTAGTCAAATAAAATTCCAATTAATATTTATATAAATGTCCCTCATATATGGCCCAATATTATGTACACTTTTTCCATATTTTGTTTGCAACTCATAACAATTTTTATTTTTATTTTCCATCTGCTCACTAGAAGGGGGACCAAAAAAAGTACTACTAAAATTAAATAAAATTAAATAGTAGAAAGGGTTTTTAGTATTTTCTAACTTTTGCTTTTATATCATTAAATCTTTTTATGATCTGTCATTGAAAGAGATGCATTACAGCTGTGGCACAGTTGTAGGTAGCAACGGGTACGTTATGGAGTTTATACATGACATTTATTTACCATTAAAATACATCGTTGAAATATTATGATAAAGTGGTAAGTAATAAAACGTGAAGTATATACATATATAGTTTCAAAATTATAACTAGAATCATCTTTTTTCTGAATCCACCTCACATTAATAGCTTGAATACCTAATCTCTTCTAATCAATAGACTATACAAAAGCAAAGTCATTAGGTGATAATGGCATCGATTATGCTTAATGAGGCTGAGGCCACATTTGTTTGCACTTAATGGAGGTCTGAATCTTAATCATTCAGATTCAATCCATTAAATGTGTTTGGTTTTTAGGTATGAATCTGAATGATTCAGCTCATTAAGTCCATTTGTTTCTTTTTTCAAAAAGCCTCTTAATGGACCTGAAAAGGTTTGAACGAATCAGATCTGCAGGAGAGTCTTAACACCATTTAGACTTATTTAATAAGTTATAATTAAAAATAATAACTATGT